CACGCAGGTAAATACAGTTCACAGAGAAGTTGACTTGCATAAAAGTATTTTCTGGGGAGAACACTTAGTAATGAAAGGCCTTAAGTAAAAGGAGTCTTCTCACATATCTATCAGTTCCTGACATCAGTAGGCTTGCTTAAAAGTCAAAATCCTTTAGTCCAGACTCAGATTTAATGGACTAGGGCTCCATATAACATGAAATTGCACCCTAAAGAGGTGGGACAAAAATTAGACTTATTTAAACAGTTTTAAAACTCTTCAGGATACACACATTATTGACTCAATAGCAGTTACACCTCACCATTTAACCCTTCTGGTCAATAACATGCAGAGCGCGGATACCTGGGAATTCCTGTTATTAGAATAAGGGGCCGCATTTTCCAAATACGCCTTCCCCTGCAGCCTGCAGAATGAAGAAATGATAGTGAGTGTCTCTAAAAGCAGGAATCTGCCATGACAACAGGTGCTTGACACTCAAGGCTCTGCATCTGTGCGGGAAGGCTGCCTCCGACGAGCTGCAACGGAGACAACACAGGCAGGTTATGGCCCACTTCTCGTCTCCCTTTCACAACACAGCATCAGATTTAACAGAATCACAGTTAATGTTGGCAGGGACCTCTAGAGATCATCTAGTCCAACCCCCCGGCTCGAGCAGGGACACCCAGAGCACGTGGCACAGGGTCATATCCAGATGGGTTTGGAAGATCTCCAGAGAAGGAGACTCCACACCCTCTCGGGGCAGCCTGTTCCAGGGCTCTGTCACCCTCACAGGAAAGAAGTTCTTCCTCATATGGAGATGGAACTGCCTGCGTTTCAACTTGTACCCATGACCCCTTGTCCTATCACTGACCACCACTGAGAAGAGTTTGGCCCCATCCTCTTCATGTTCTCCCCTCAGGTACTTGTACTTGTTGATCAGATCTCCTCTCAGTTTTCTCCAGGCTGAACAGGCCCAGCTCGCTCAGTCTTTCCTCATACAGTAGATGCTCCAGTTCCTTAATCATCTTCATTGCTCAAAAAGATTTACTCCTAGAGAATTGTCCAGTGTGCCTGACTCAAGAGTCCTCCAAGACGTAAGGCCCAAAGCAACGTTAGTAACACTACACCAGTAATGTGGAAGCTTTATTACAGAAATATCACCTGTAACTTTTGCAGACTTGCTGGAAATGAGTCAGGGAAGGCACATCCCAGCAAACACCTACTTAGACTCAGCAAGAGAAGTTACAGCTTTGGGGAACCCCTTAGAGAACAGGACAAAGGCTGCGGGAGGAAAAACAGTACTTCTGCCTAGCTCAGATTTAACTCTTATGCCCCAAAATGCAGTTGGATGAAATTGGGAGAAAAAAAAATAACGCATAATCCTTTGGTGGAGAATGTAATAAAATGCCCATTCCTTCCCATTTTAAGGATGTACATATGTAGAATTACTTGAAGTTTGCAACTGAAACAGAACTGGACATTTCCTCATGAAAGGCCCAGTATTCCACAGGATGAATATAAAGAGTGGGGCCAACTGCAAAGCACAGGAAGAGAAGCTAAACATGCAACACATCCAAAACAGGTCACGCTTGCTTTAGACATAGCCATCTATAAATACAAATGTTCAGGCTCTTTCAGCTTTCTGTGGACTCACTAAGGCGCTAAATTTCATTCAAGTCTAAAAATTCAGCACAGGTCATTGCAGGATACTGATCTGCAGTGAGGAGTTAGGTATCCCAGGACCCTGCCTGGCTGGTAGGAACCTAGCTGCATCTTTGAGCAACTGCCTATCCTTGGGATTTGGCCCCAGGGCCCACTCAATCCTCCTGCCTCTCCATTTGCACTACTGTAAGGGGGAATAATCCTGCCCAGGGCTGCAGGCTTCCCTGCTTAAAGCATGCAAAGCTCTTTAGCACTTGCCTCCAATCCCCTTATAGATGTGCAAATCATGGCACGATTACAATTCCAGGATAATGACTTTAATTTTATGACTTGCAGGAGGAGGCCTCTGAGGAGGCTGTTTTCATGTTTCTGCCCCCCTTAGTGGGGGCTGGAGGTGAGTGCAGGGCTCAGGGGCCAGAGCCTGAGCTAATCTCTTGCTTCTTGTCCTACCCAACCCTACTGTGATACCTCCACAAATTGTGTATTTGAAGAAGGTGCTGGAACAACACGGAAACAAGGACCTTAGAAGGTATTGTTAGGGTCTGAATTTGAAAGCTGAAGAGGAGAATACACAATTTCTATGATAGGGTAGATTTACATCAACTTTGGTTTCTAGCTCACCATCTATCCTACTCCCTGAGCATAGTTCTTGACTGACTAATTAATGGAGCAGCTCAAAACGGCTATTCCAAGATCCCTGCGCCTCATAGATGGTTTAGGTCACTCCAAACACTATTCTTGAACAGTGCAACATGCTACAGATATTAATAGCACTGAGTCTGCATTTAACTGGAATGCTGTGTACTCAGGGAAGTGTTTGTAACTGCCCTTACAAACACTTGAAATAGGAGACACGAGCATCAGGCCTCTTCACTAAGAGGGCAGTCACTTTAAGTAAACCGTACAGCAAATAAATGGCATTACTTAAAGCACGATAAATAAATACACTTTGTTTTTAATTTGTAAGCCTCTAGAAGAAAACAAGAATCCAAAAATTTGTTTCCTTTATTAGATCCAAAACATGTTCCTATCAAAATCAAAGAAAACAAACAGCTCGGGTGCAACTGCACTGGTAAAAATCCAGACATCTGAACTCTGCGGTATCACTGTTCTGTTGACTTCATCTCTATCAAATCAGTTCAGTGCAGCGTTCATCCCTACAACCGTTTTTTGCAAAGAATATTTTAACTTTACACTCAAAAACATTTGTTAACATTTGGAACTTTTATGCACTATTTCTTCTCACAGGTATTTTACTCTGATCATTCACACTTTTAAAACTTAGCTAAAAACTGACAAAACTACTATCTGGAGCAGATCTTTTCAATTGCAACATCTTCAAGCTTAGAAGTTCTCTACCCATGGGGATCTTTCTCTCAAATTCATGGGGAAAATACTTTTTAGTTACCGTCTCAGCAAGAGACTGACACAACAGCCAGCCAGTGGTAAGAAATGCTCTGGTTACTCCAGAGCTACTTTCAGTGCCTTTGAAGTGGCTTCATTAATGCAAATGCTCACTTAAATGGAGAACTGAGGTATAATGAGCCTAAATAACACGATCTTTTTAGAGGGCAATGTCATGGAAATCTTACCAGCGATTGAAATAATTCCCCTTACCTAAGATGAAAGTGCATGCAAAAAATACACTACGAAATAAAAACCTCTCCCCCTTCCCCCTCACCTCCAAAAAAAAAAAAAAAAAAAAAAAGAAGGCAGCAAAGTTGTCAAATTTTATCAGCACTCACAAGCTCTCCCATCACGGGGCAACTGTATTTGAGTATACTTTGAGCTATATCTCAAGCTAGTTAGATAGAGAAGGACTGCTGTACACATGAGTAAGGTTCTACATATGCACTATACACGTTTGTATTTCCATGGATTTTTTTTTTCTTCTATGATGTATGTCATGTTAGTTCAGGGTGATTTATAAGATAATGAAGAAACAGAAAACTAATTTCCAAAGGGTTCCTTTTCCATACTTTGTTGGTTCAAGTCAGTATACTGATACTTTGTGCACTTCTCCACTTCCGCTGGCAGAAGGTGGCGGTGGTGGTGGTGGGAACATCACATCTTCCCTGCCTCAAAACTGGGAATAGGGATTGGGAAAAAATGGGAATAGGGAAAAAAAAAAAAAGAGTTAAATTTCTTTCCTTCTCATTTCTCAGTGAGAAGTTCCCTGCACTGAAAGAGAAAGCTGGTAAGAAAGGAAGTGAAGTTACTACAATAAAAAGGAGATATACTAACACCCAACGTATTTTTCTAAAACAAAAAGCAGAAAACCATGGTGACAACAATAATAAATACTACTCAGAGTAGCACTACGGTTTTATCTGGTCTTTCTACTCTCTGGAAGGAGCATCAAAGACTAGAGCCTACACACAACACCTCTGAAAATACACAGAGCTAAAGCATGACACTTGTGCTGGACATTTGGGGGGTTTTGCTGCTTCTGTTTTACTTTGCGATAGAAGAATGTCCCTTTGCAAACTCCCAGCATTTTTGCAGATTTTAACTGAAGTTAGAAAAACATAACCATGATTATTTAACCATAACAGCTACACAGAAAGAAATGGAACTGGTAACCAGGTGAAATTAACATCTCACAGAAGAATTGTGAACATCTTCATAAATTAAGAAATACTACGACAAGTTTACACTAAACATGAAGCTGCTCTAGTGAAAGGCCACAGCAAGAAGAAACCAGCTGCTGTCTCCTCAATTGCTTGCATTTGTGTAATTTTAAATGTCATTTAATCTATAATCCTTAAAACTGCTGAACGAAGGAAGTCTCCCTGCAGAAACATCTTTCTGCCACGATTGGAATGGCACAATTCAGTGGGAAATTACTATTTTGGCAACATTTAAGATGTAACTGCAACAATAGAACAAAAGTACACCCCGAAGTTTGCATTTCGATTGATACCACAACAGATGTTCAACACAAAATCGGGAGATATTTTAAAATATTCCAAGAAAAAAGGCATCATCATTTTAAATACAGGCATACAATAAAATCAGAATTACTTGCTCATGTTAGCTTTAGTAAATAACAGTTAAGGTTAATAATGAAACTAGTAATCAAGCATTAATTACAGCTTTGTGTACCAAAAAAGCAGCTTTGACGAGATTTTTGATACTGTATGCCGTAAGTAATTTTGAAAACAAAACCTTAAGATATATTCAAGTAAGCAATTTTTATTTGTCACTAGTTTATTTCCACAGCAATGTACTTACTGGATGTAAATACTGCAAAAACCAAAAGAAACTACAGTCATTTTCGCATCAATTCATCTCATAACTTCATATGCAGAACAGAAGCATCATATGAGAAAGTTTCCAAAAAGTATTCATAAGAAAATTTAAAGTTGTGTTTTTTTGACGGCTAGCTTAGTTATAATGAAGAAAAAACCCAATCCAAACAATGTCACCACTCCCATTTTTACTAATCTGTTTTCCAAGGTAGGTGCTTCTTCTGGAAATTCCACTCGGCTGGGATCATCCCTCCGTTCATTCTGCAGTAGAAGTTGTTCATGTGAAAAACATAAAAAAAAAATAGTGTGAAAACCCTGGAAGTGTTATGAAATACACAGTCCTAAGGACCTGCATGTATCTAGTTTGTATGTTACCTCTTTCTCTCTGTGTATCTGAGGTCTACTTCCATTGAAGCAAATGTGTGCAAACTTTTATCTTATCTGGTGCTTGGTCATTTTGTAAGTAACACATATTGCAAAAACAGGCTGTTTGTTTACAAACAGAATTCCTTAGGAGTAACACACACTACTACCAGATGCTACAAAAATCTAATACCAAAACATTGCAATTTGCAGACACTTTAACCAGAACTTTTGCTATTTAGTCATTAAAACAATGACTTACTAAACCAGTGAGTTACATATTTAACGCACAAAACTTTCAAAGACTTCCCTGCAGATAAAGAGGGGGAGGAAAGTACCTTACAAGTGTCTGCTCAGATATCTGTTGAAGCTGACTGCAGCCTTGTCATGAAGTGCAGCAGAGTAAGGTCCCGCTTCCCTTTCCTAGTCCACAATACTTGGAAAACCATCTCGTTTGACAGGTGAAGATGCAAATATCATGCACTACAGACATAATATGTACTGCAAGCAGTGTCTGATGTCTAAGCTTAGCAAAAGCTACTGTAGATTTTAAGGGTGTTTGTACAAATTAAGAGGCTTGTTTTTTTTTCATTTAAATGATTACTTTTCATAAAAAAAAAAATCTCAGTGTTCTATAATGATCTAGGAGCAGCACCATTTCACCAGTGAAATCCACAGCACCATTTCACCAGTGAAATCCACAACACATTGCAGTATTTTAATACAACAGGAATTGTATTTTCTAAGCGGTTACCAGGCTAACATTTAACACCTTGGTTTCTTTAACAGTGAATGCAGAGCCACTTCATCTTGGAGGGTCTAAAACCTTAAGCAGAGATGAGTGCAAGTCCAAGTGGCATGTAACTGTTCTCCCCATTCCCCTTATAACCTGGGGACAGACACATGTATGCCATTCATTTCTGCATATGCAAAGAAAGGAACACAAATGGCTAAAATGTTCTTTGCTTGCAACCTCAATCCAACTCTTAAATACATTTGGTGTTTAGTGATTTATTAGGAGAAGGCTGTTATATTACACTGAATTTACTTAATCTACAGGAAATTGCATTACTAGCATTATGCTCAGTGTCCGAGTTCCACATGGCTTCATTCAGTAACAGATTCCTTTCTGACACTGATGCTCCATTTACTCTTACCCATTCCTTTTACTAGCCTATTACTTCAAATGACCCCATCTGACAAGAGCATGTCACTGTGCTGGTTTGAGGATGACTGATGTGGTGCTAACATGTAGCCTTGACCTCTCCCACCCTCTTCTTTTGTCACCTCTGCAGAGTTTGCTGCGATGCCCTCTTTTCAATCCATAAAACCTTAACATCTTTAGCGAGTCAGTAACTCCAAAGGATTCCCTAACTAAGAAGTTTTCCAAATGACACTTGTACCATAGTGGTCACTCATGAACATAAGGATACTTTCCACTGAAGTCTTTCTTATGGTTGAAACAAAAAGATCTACTATACTTTTCCCTGGAAATCATCCTCATTACTTTGGAATATTCTAGATTATTTCTTGTTCTATTATGGAAAGGTGAGAGGTGCACCGCTGTGCATTCCTGCTACCTCCAAGCAGCTTGCAATCCCTGGATGCAATTCCAAACTACAGCTGAAGAAAGCCTTTTACAGACCAAAATAGCAAACATTTCCCTGTTGGACATCTTGTAGGGTTTACAAGAAAGTTATATACAACACATGCTAGACTCAACTCCTGCTCACCCACCTCTTCCAGGAGGTTCTTCAGCATCGCAACTTCTTTTCCCAGCTTTTCCACACTGCAAACCAAGTCTTTGCAAACTTCAGCAAACCTTTCAGCTGGTGCCCACTGCAGTACTACCTATTAGGAGTTACAGCTGAATGTCAGAATTACTGTAGAGTCTAAGCTAGGATTCTTTAGCTAATGTAGTATAAAAGACAGCGTCAGAAAAATATGTTAACTTTATTTATGCTAAGTAAGCATAGCACGGTTCATGCATGACAAAAATCTACTACTTCATACCAGCCTTCACGGGAGTTTTCTGTCACTTCTATTTAAACACTAATTCCCTTACAGGCAGTAAGGCAGAGGAGCAGATCTATGTTTTTTAACGGGTTGGCTTAAATCTCTGGAACAAATTATTGAAAAGATATACTTTAGTGAAAGAATATTGAACAGTTCTATAAAACTATAAGTTGTTTATGGCTTTGATCACTATTCATTTTTTCCCCCATTTCTATTCACTAGAAAAGCAGTATTCCCCAAACTCTAAATCATTCTTTGTCTCCTTTGGTTGAATACCTTGTGAGAATTTGTGAGCAAATGCTTATTTATGGTCTGCACAGGAACGGTCAGGTTACCACACTCTTTATTCAACTTCTGAAGAAACTTGAGGAACTCATCTCCACTAGCAAAACAAAACCGCGTTCCATTATTTGTAAAAGGCCAACTTTGCAAGCTAAATACCGCGTGTCCATTCCTAACACCGGCTCGTGAGTAATTAAACATGCAATAATACATAAAAAATAAGAAAACAACAACAACAACATCACCACCGCCACAATCAATTTACCACATGAATCTGCGCCACATCCACATTTAACATTTTGTCTCATAGGGCTTATTTATTTATTTTTGAAACCTTTAAGTCATCCGAGATGCTCAGCTACTAAGTCACACTGAAAGCTGAATCATAGAATCCTTAAGGTTGGAAGGGACCTCTGCAGGTCATCTAGTCCAACCCCCCTGCACACGCAGGGTCACCTAGAGCACGTGGCATAGGGCTGCGTCCAAGCGGGTTTTGAAGATCTCCAGAGCAGGAGACTCCACAGCCTCTCTAGGCAGCCTGTTCCAGTGCTCTGTCACCCTCACTGTTAAGAAATTTTTCCTTCAGCTCCTGTGGAACTTTTGATGCTTTAGTTTCTGGCCATTTCATCTAGGTCTATCAGTGGCCACCACTGAAAAGAGGCCAGCACCATCCTCCTCACTGCCTCCCTTGAGGTACTTATAGACACTGATCAGGCACTGAGAAAGCATTACCCCCAAGCTTTCTGGAAACGTTCCGTTAACCTCTGCTTTCACTTCTCACTGCCATTAATCCTATAGCATCAACACAAACATACCTTAACCTGCTACATGAGCAACTCTGGATCACAATACACATTCACGCAAACATCACATCACACACACATCACACAAACAGCACTTTTTTGTGCATGTGTGACAGAGATCAATCTGGCAACACCAGGAATAATTTATAGTCAATTTTACATTGACATATCCCATATTCCTGATCTGCAGCTTACTTTTTAACGGAAGGTGTGTTGGGCAGAAAAAAATACAAACAACTCAAAGCAAAAAACTGTTTTGCATTTGGTAGTTAAAGATGAAATGAAAAGGTTAGAAACATTCAGTCTCTAGCACGTGGAAGAATACAACAGTGCTGACTTGGCTCTTGGACCTAGCAATTCATTCCTCAAAGCCCACAGAATCTGAGTTAATCTACTTTGAAGAAAACATACTCTTAGGTGTTCAAATACAATCAGGAAGATAACCCTGGAAGTTAGTTTGGTTCCACCAAAAGAGTGGAGAAAAGAATGTAAAATCTAACAGATTAGTATCAATACTAAGTTTTAAAGATCTTGTGTCACACTACCTCAATTTGATTGCAAATCTTAGCAGGAAATTAAGGTGTCAGTTATAAATGATGGTTCAGACCAGAAAGTTGCTGACATTGCTGAGCAGAGGGAAAGGGCAACAAGAGTGAGTTCTCAAACCCCACAATTCTTAATAGTTTCTTCATCTACAGCTCCCACTATCAGCCATGATGTGAACAGCACACAGGCCCAGCAAAACAATTTTAGCTTGGCATCTCCCTAATCACAGGTCTTATGTTTATGGGAGGATTTGAGTAAGTGAATTCAGATCCCAACTTCCCACTTTTCCCTGGAGCAATATGCTAGTAAACCTAAATGCAATGTACTCGCACACCACCGAAGGCAAGAAGGTCTAAATGCAATTTTCCACCAAACAGCTGAGTGCCAGATACTCACACCAACATGTTAGCGTGGTGCACAACAAATTGAATTTAGGCCACAGGGTGTTTTCATTACGTCCTCCTCTTTTCTTTTTCTTATAACAACACATACCCTAAGCAGACAACATTAAGGTGTCTAATGGCAAGACACCATCTCTTAAAAATACTCGAGATTTCAGAGCCTGATCTCCTACAGTATCCACACTGGGGATACAAGCAAAACTGGAAACTCACCTCTTTGGGAATCTAGGGCTTCTTGCATAAATATTAGGACACTGGACCTACCTGCCCATCATTAGGGAAAGGAAGGGCATGCCAACAAAATTGGAATCCAATTCTCAGGCTGTACTATCCTGAATTAGGATTACATAACTTTAGAGCTGTTTTGGAATGATCTGATGGCCTAGAATTTTTATTTTAAATTTGCTAAAACTCAAGACAGCTGTTCCTTTGCTGTAAATCTTAGCTTCAAAATGCAGGTATATGTAAAAATATAAAGTATTTATTCATTCTACAAATGTATCCTATAAATATTAATCCCTCTCTACATTGCATTAATTAATTGATATTGCAAAAGTGAGTTTTTAATATAGCAAGTAATTTTGGCATATGTGAATAGACAAAGTTTCTACCACTGCTACAGTGTCTATCACTTGCAACACTGCAGAATTGCTAAGACTTTAGACAGTAAGATGCTGAAGGTTACACACCAAGTTAGTTCTGTTTGTTATGAAGATGCGAAAAAATTATAAAGCCTATTCGTTTATTTTTTTGAGGCCTATTTGCTTGTTATTTTGAAGCACACTGCTCTGAAAAAAATATTAATTTAACTGAATATCTATATTTAGGGTAAAAAACACTAAACAAAATCATGTGCAAACACAGGCTGGAAGTTTGTCCCACATATTTCCACAGTCAAACCATGCAGATCAAAACTTTCTCTACTTAAAAGGATAACATTTTGGCTAAGATCAGTTATGACACCTGTGTTTTGTCACAATGAAAATCTATTTTTGTTGAGAATCCTTCCAGAATTCTCAGAATAAAGTATGTCAGGGACATGAAATAGAATAAACCAAAAATATTAATGCTTATTATATTTACTGTATGCATAGCAGTTCTTAAAAACATTTTCATAATTTTTATATCCATTGCAGCAATATCATCTTATAGCATTTTCAAAAAATAATATTTTTTTAAAAGAAAAAATGGCTGTCAAAACAGCAGTGGCTTAACAGTGTTAGACACTCTCTGCGAGTTTATAATCAATCAGCTCAACATTTTCTACTATGTTAGTTTTTCTATGACTTAATGACTGATTTTCCTTCTCACAGAATGACTTTGAACAAATGGGAAGTAAAATCTTTACATAACAGCATGTAAACATAACCTATGATTTTAGTCCCAAGGTCAGATTCCTAGAATACATGTCAAGTCATTTTCTAAAAAAACAAACAAACAAAAAGAATCTATGCAGTGCTTGCAATAATTGAACTGTGGATATATTTTTGTGTATTTCTATTTTTATTCAGTCATTTTCTGAGAACTATAAGTGAGCTAAAAATCATTCTAGGAATACCACATGACCACCATGTTACTGAGGTACGGTACTGTGTCTGATTATTTTTTTCCCCCCTTTATTTGCCTACACATGTAGTGAACTATTCACTTTTTGGATTTTCCACTTCTCCCTGTGTTCAATTTTTTTGGCTGTTCTGCATAAATGCATACACTAAATGCCATAATATACAGATCTGGAAAAGAATGTGTATTTCTGGGGTAAAAATGCATGAACTGGACAAAGTTCTCTTGACTCAATGAAAGGTCAAAATCATTTCTTAAGACGCCTCACTCGGACCCTGAAACACCCTGCTGCTTGGCCTACCTCTGCTCAGCTGCAAAGTCTATTACATTTTAATAGGAAAGGCTCATGTGCTGCTCAAGTATTTATGATGTACCCACATCACAAAGTTTTGTGCCTTCCGCATGCTGGAACTCCAGCTCCTCAGTCTCACACACAGTGTATTACTGTGTGACACCTGGACTCTCTTTGGGAAGTAGAAAGGTGCTTGTTTTGACACAGAAATCTCTGACTAGAAGGCAGAATCAAGGTCCATATTGGCACAGGAATGTCTGTCTCTCCAGCCCACCTCAGTCTTGCAAGAGCTTCCCTAAACGCTTTGCATGTCCTTGCACATCTCAAAGTTCATGTTGGGCATTGCACTGCAAAAATGTACCTCACTGAGGCTGCAAATCTGCTCTCACTGTGCACACAGCGATGGATGCAGACAGGCAGGATGGCAGCACCAGCAGCTATCGGCACATGTAAGGATGACTAGTTAGGAGTGGAGCATGTAGTAGAAAGTCTCACACAACCATGGCATGAAGGAGAACGAAAGGGCAGGAGCGCATCATGATGCGAGGGCTAATACACAGCACCAGAGGGACAAGCTGCCTCCAATGGAGGCCACAGAATTACTGGAACTCAATCATATCCTCGGTCCAACAAGCAATAGGAATAAGAGCCTAGCCTTACACCATCCCAATAAGGTATCTAGCTCCTATGAAGGAGAAAGAGATGCCTACCAAAGGAGCAACACAGCTGCCAGATCACTAGACAAGTGGGATATACATGATCCAGGCCTTCTCTCTCTCAAACACATACACACACACACACACTTCAAAGAAATGAACCCTTACATTTCTAGGCAGTGGAAATTTATTTAATCATCTTATTGAATGCAAGAAGCACAGATTTCTTCCTCCATATTAGTCAAGCTAAACCCCAGTAAATAAGGCACCACAAAGCTATGCAGATGGTGTTACAACTGGAAGGAAGGAACGTAAGCGCAGAGAACTCAACTTTGTTACACCGCAGTGCAGCTTCAAGCATTCGGAAGAAGCAGTAGCTTGGCATTAGCACCATCTTTAAGTTAAACAAATACAGTTCAACCAGACTAAAGTCTTTGAAAGAAAAGTCACACTGCCCTATTTCTAAAGATCTTGCAAATGAAAGTATCAGACTATGCTGCCTTTCTGGAGCAATTCTTTTATAGTTTAAGGAAGCAACAAGTGGAAGGTATGAACATATATTAGACATAGCATCTAGGTTAAAGTCTAAGGCTCTTTTCTAGAAAAATGCTACTTATCCTATAAAATACAAACCAGGAGGTGTAAGAAAACTTAAGGCACATTTCCACTTACTACATTCTTCATTCTTCTTGATGTGTATTACCTGACTTCCAGCTTCAGCACTTCAGGGAGGTCTCCAATTCTTATATCTTCAAGTTGTAGCTCTGTAATAGAATCTAGGAGTTTCTGTTGATCTCTGGGATTTGTAACGCCGATCTAAATGTAGGGAGTCATGTCAAATACGTTATTTTTTTAATAGTTACTTCAACAGTGCTGCACTATTTAAACAGTAGATTTTTTTGCGTATTGTGTGAGTTTCTAATTACCGAAAGATCAAGAGGTCAAAGGAATTTGCTTTTAGGAGAAAAAAAAGATCAAAACAAACAAACAAAAACCTCAGCAACTATTTGATTATGCACAAAAAATGAATTGTTTGAAATGAGTAAGAGAAGAGCCAAACTGAAATCACACAGGATGCTTTGATAGGCATAACATTGATCAACAGTTAATAGTTCAAAAACTATTAGTTCTTAAATAAACCTCAAATAGAGAGGTTTGCTATTCCAGAATCACCTAAGGCTTCCCTCATAGCAAAGTAACCTATTATCATGTTGGCAGCACAATAGTAGCTCAAAAGGAAACAATGAAAACCATCAAGTCAGCATCAAATGCAGCATTTTATAGAAACAGGTCAGATTTTTGGAAAACAGCCTCTAAGATACTACACCTCTTTCTAAAGTCTTTCTTACTTTCTTACAGAATCTCATTTTAAGAAGTCACTTACGTCACTTAAAGCAATCCAACTCAACCACTCTATTTCCAAAAGTTTGAATGATCACATAAAAGACAGTATGATCTTGTAAAAGAAAAACAAAAAGCTCTCAAATCAAAAATATCCTTCCCAAAAAAACAACTCTCACGACAAAAACCCACCTTTGGCATGATGCTTCTGCAATGAAACAACCTGCAAAGCAGTTTCTGGAGAACAGCATTCTTAAAATCAGTATGGATTTTTTGCTTCAAATTCAGACCAAGTATTATAAGCCTAAATACCATCTGACATCTGCTTGTACAATCCCTGCGCTCTAATCAATTGACCTTCCATACTCTTGAAAAATCCTACAAACCATAATAGAAAGCTTTGAAAAGTGTGTATGTATATATATATGTATTTTTAATAAATAAAGTCTAATTCTTTTCAGAAGCTTCATACTATGTAACCATGGTTCTCCAAATGATGTCTGAAACAGAAAATGTTGTTAGTTGCATTATCCATAACTACCATAGATGAGAATTTAACTTTTACATAAATTCTAGAAGGCTAAGCATTTTCTTTCAGAATGCTTTAAAGAAAAAGCAAAACCCAGTCCATTTGATGAGAGGGAAGCGCTTCTGTGTCACATTCAGTACATTTCCTTGCTAACCTGACAGACAGTGTTCGACACGGTGGTTAACAACCCTCCTGAAGCTTCTCCACCTGGAAGCCAAACCTGGGAGCATCAGCACCAAGCATGACTTTATTCCAAGCTCTCCAGGTAGCATGTGAAGCCAACAGCAGCTCCACTCTGCAGTGGACACAAACGTTACCCAGAGTCCAACTGTTTGTGCTATGATGAGTTCACAGCCTGAGCATAGTGCCAGCATGTGGATAAGCAAGCTCTCATGCTGGTGTCAACTGAAATAAAAACTGCAACTAAACAACTCAGGTATGACCTAGAAGTGGCCATATGCGCAAGAAGGCAAAAGCAACTTTAGTGTTTTATCAGGACTGACTTTTTTGTTTTACAGGAGAGAAAAAAAAAAAGACACTGAACAGGCTAAATTTTGACTTCAGGCCCATAGATACTCTAACAGTACCTATTTTTTTCTTTACTTAAATAAAAATTAAAAAGTCCCCAAACTCACACCCAAAACCAACACTCCAACATTAAGAGGACTTTTCTGTTGACATTTAGAGGGAAAGATGAGGTAAATAACAGACTGCTTCAACTAATGAAAGATGGCACACTTCTCAGATAAAAATCAGTCAGAAACACTAACATTCCTGTCATCTTGCCCAAATGGCCACTCTTTTTAATAATGTCATAATTTTCTGCCAAGTCCACTTTTTGGACACGGGAAAATAAGGAAAGAGCTGGGGAGGGGGCCTGGGGTAAGAGAGTCCTGGTATGAAAGCTTGCAGACCAGATAAATCTCTGTATTTCCAGACTGTATTTTGATTCTTGAGGTGTCAAATTTTCATTATGCACTCTCAAACGCAGAGCAGGATGCCAATTTCTCTTCCTGTAAACTAACACACATATGAGGAAGGAATTTTTTAAAGTCCTAAATGCACAAGGAAGTAAAATGACTTCTGCCACTGGTTTGAGACAAATGCTCAAAAAATGACTCCCTCCAAACAAAACCCAAGTGTCAGAAACAGCAGCTAATTAGACAAAACCCTCCAAGTTTTGAATGGACCTGTCTGAGGATGGAGCAGTTTGTAAGTTTAAAGGAATGCAAGGATTTTAGCTTTACAGCGTCATTGTTTAGGCTGTGTTCTAGAACACAGATAAAGTTATTTACAGAGAAAATATCTTTCTGATATTCTTTGATGGAAGAAAGCTTCTCATGTTAGTGACAGCATTTCTTTCCAATTCTTTTGGATGCAAAGCAGCATGGTTCAGAGGCATCCATCAGAAGTCATCATTAATCTCTGTAGTAATAAGATCCAGACTCTTTAAGAGCTGGCTGCTAGTGGAATATCTGCCATCACACAAAAGCCTTTCAGCTTTGTAGTTACGAGGAAGTAGATTAGATTTTTGTTCTTTCAGCAACGTAGGAGAAGCTCTTATTAGAGCTCTAAAATCAGAATTAAAAAAAAACAAACAAAAATCCAAACTTTAATAGCATACTGTATGAAGAGCTTAGGATAACTTATCAACTGCTAATAAATCTTATATCATTTTTTTAATCCTGAATTAAAGACCAGTATAATTCATTTATGTCCATGCACAACACACAACCTATTTTATGGGAATATCTTCCTGCTGTTGAAGAAACAAGTGGTAAAACAAATCTGTTCCTGCAGATACAGTTTTTCTGTACAAGAGCAGTAGGCCCAGGTGTTTATTTTATTTTCCAATGAAGTTCTCTTAATAATAGGGAGCCTCAAACATGTTAGAAAATTGAAATATGAATTATTAGTCTGTGTGAAGATTACATTTCCCTCACTTAAGCCGTTCGCTTAAGGCCAAATTTTCCCCAGAATCTGTCTCTCCCACAGAGACAGATAGAAGTGACTACCATTTCTCAGCAAGAGACTGGCACGAATGTACACTTGATCAGACTTGCAGTTTAATGACACCAAGAAAATAGCTCACCGAAACATGAGAAGAAAAATAACAAGATCTCCTTTAAGCATGGGGTTCTTGTCAATAGCAGCTTTAAGGATTCAAATAAAGCCCACACGTGCATGCCGCATAACGGGTAGGATATAGAGGCTCTGGAAGCACTGCTGTAACATGGCACATTGATGTACCTGATCTAGGTGAATTCTTGTAATCTCTTGATACACACAGCTCCCTACATGTGTACCCAATGATATTAGGGAAGTATTTCTGAGCTCTGTCACATCGCTGCAAGCACCAGCTCTACTCAGCTACAATGCAATCCTTGTGACACTGACTCAGAGGCACATGAACTTACACAGATAAATATTGATTCCAGCTGTTAGAACATGTACCTTCCTCAATACCCTGCAGTATTGAATCTTCCTCTCTGGAGATCTTCCAAACCTGCCTGGATGCAACCCTGTACCACTAGGTGTCCCTGCTTGAGCAGGGGGGAGTTGGACTAGATGATCTCCAGAAGTCCCTTCTGACCTTAACCATTCTGGGATTTAAAGCGGTTATTTAGGATTATTTGCTGCTAATCCTAGCAATTATTTCCCTTCAGGGAAAACATACTTCCAAGCCAAAAATAGTAATGATTAAAATTTAAAACTCAAGTATTTCCTGCTCATGCAATTCCCAAATCAATACAGAAAAGAACCAGTGGGGACCGCCACTTCACAGACAGATCTGGAACAGAGGATTTAACAACTCAACTCCTAGAACTTAATACTGACCTGAAGAATTATATACTTTAGAAAAGGTCCATCTATACACATATTAAAATTCAAGAAGTAACTTAAGATTCTGAACAGAGACCTTCAAAGAAAAATCTTACAAGATTAGGCATTTATGAAGAGAAATTAGGTCATTAAACTAATGAGACAAAGTAGTAAACTAACCTGTGTTAGTTCATCTTTTTTCATGATCACAAGTTGTCTTAGAGTAACATCTTTTTCCTGTACAAAACAAAGGGTTTTCCATCATCAAAAAGAGTTTCAGAAGAAAATGTCAAGTGAAAAAGAAATAGCTACATAATACCATTAGCAAAATAATGGAACAAAAAAAAGTCTGGTATACAACACACTATATAATCACAACATCACATGCTGCAATTAACGCACATTATCAAAATCGGTCAATCTAGTCCAGTGAAACTTGACATTGCAAATATGACTTTCTTCTAGTATGTTAAGAACATAATTTTTATTGACATTTTAAGTCATTTTTATAAATTACTTTTATATATTAATTTCCACGTAGCAGATGCATCACAATCTTACCTTTAATAATCCTATTATGTGTTCCAGACCAAGACCATGTAAAAATACTTCCATGTCTGAAAGTGCTGAATAGGAACTGTAAACACATTTAATGACACTCAAGGTGAAAACTGTGAAAATTAAAAATACATCTACAACAAATCCAAAACATACATACCTGAGTAAAATACACAACTAGACAAACCACAAACCTAAAGCTGGACACACCTACCACAGTAGCATCACATAAGCATCAAAGGGTACAGTTTAATTTAACAAAATTTTACAGTTGGTTATTTTGAATATAAGTGGAAAGAATGGTGGTTAGGAGGGAAGATAACAAAAAATACCCTGTGAATAGCCACCCTTCATATAAATTCAGGTTCAGTCTTTAATTTTTACTTTTTACTTTCCACTTAACTCAAACGAAAAAAAAAAAATAATAAGGATGTTCCTCATTAAGGGCAGAGGAAATTAGCTCAGTAGAAGTTTGCTGCCAGAAGACTACTGTTGAGACGTTAGACTGCTGGACCCCTGTAATTCCTTGCAGGTTCACAGATTTTTAAGGTTTATAAATAAAGGTAGGAATCAATCATGAACTATATCTACTAAAAGATAGAAAAATACAAGGAAAAATACCTAAACAACTTTCAACAGTCAGATGAACATCTGTAATGAACCTAGAAGCAAACTATAAAACATGCAAAAGACTACTGCATTTCTACACTGATCCCTTGCCAAAAGTCTGAGCTGAGAGTTTTCTCCATCTTCCTGTGGGTCCTTAACTTACAATTTGTCCTGTTCTCAAAGGCTTAAAGAGCTCTTACAGCTAAATTTATAAACAATTCTCTTGGAAAATCTTTCTGAATATGTAAGAAAAGATTTCAGGTTGGAACATTGGGAATCTTCCATTCCAGGATTTCTGGTATTTAAGTTCACTTAAGCCTTTACAATGACGGACATCTTAAAATCACTTAACTTCTGTGCTGTGATAGCTTAATAACTGTGGGAATATACAGTGCACATTTCAGCAGGCAGGATATAAAAAAGGAACGTAAAGTCACTGTCCCCATCATGAACTGGTGTAGAATTGTTATCCTCTCCTCACATTCCCTTCCACATAGACAACAACCTCCAGTCTTTGAAGCAAGCAATTTACATATACCTTCCCACACTCATATCCAGTGCACCCAATCATAGGCAACAGGAGACAATATTTGGGATCAACTTGAAATGAAAAAAAATCTTTGCATTTGCACATATGTAAGTGCCTAGTTTGCAAAGGTTTCTGCAGTGCTGGAGCATTTGGTTCTGCTACAAGTGCAAGAAAAGAATGTTTTTTCTCCCAGAAACAGCAAAAGAGGTGTTCAATATCCACCACATAACTTCAAAGTCTTTGAAAAACAGGACTTAGGCAGCTGAAGAAACAAGTACCAGACAGGAACCTGTGTCTGCTTGCATAATCCACTGGAGCCAGGACACACGCCTCATGAGGATGGCATGAGGGGATAACTGAAGCTACGCTTACTCCCTAAGTACTACAGATCTCCCACAGACTGTAGCAACTGACCCCGCATGGGGCAGCACAATTGTCGCCCAGTATGAGATGAAGGAACCCGAGGGGAAACGGGACTTGAGACAACTGCCAATGCTAGCAGCCAAAATCACACAGAAAACTGGCAGAGAGAAGACATCCATCTCCCAGAACTGTGATGGAGTAAACACAGATATCAGTGTGCCTCGACTATAACCAGATGAAAAAAAGTAACTAAGTAGGGGGAATGTAGGGGTGGGGAAGAGAAATTGATTAACTGTATTTGTAAGAACATGTACTGAAGAGCCAGATATCTGGTGTATTCCAGCAGACTATCAGAAACCAGGATTTCTACTGATCATCAGAAATGATCAAAATTACAAAATATCAGAACAGGCTATGTAAAGAAAAATTCTTGAACTTGCCAGAAAATCTGCTGATAAAGACAAACAGGTTACTCATCTCATATAGATGGAACTCAGAGGTTTAAAAAAAAAAAGAGAGAGAGAGAAACAGAAAGAGAGAGGGAGAGAGACACCAACTACTGGGCACACTGTGAAATCATGGAGGCACAAGAATCACCTCATACAACATTACATTTATATAGTGAGACATCTGGCTGTCACAAAGTATTACCAGTAGGCTTAAGGATTTTAGTCTCCTATTTTAAAAGCTTATCAGGATTACCCAGACACCGATATAATATTCTCTAGCCACTGCCTGGTTTCTACAGGCAAGCACAAAACCACTTAGATAACTGCTATGAGGTGTTGGTGTGTTTACTTGTACTAGAAAGTCTGAGAAACTTCCTAAATAACCTAAACCTATTAAAAGAGAGAGATCTCTCATAACACTGAAGTCACAAAGTCCGGATTCTACCTAGAAGCATGAATCTCTGAAGAATACTAGAAGAGTAAATTCTTTTTAAAGAGTCGAATGATATTCCAGGAAGGAATTCTGGGTAGACACAAAGTAAGTTATGTCTTAAAAAACAAAACCATAGAGTATTATATTTGGCCTGTCTCAATAGTTACATGGACCATCATCATTCTTATGACAAGCATCCAAGGATTGAAAAAAAATGATTCCCAAGAGTAACACCAAGACCCCCAGGAGAACTGTTTCATGGATGGAAGGATATACCCAGATTAATTCCTTGAGGAATGTATAGTGAGATGCAAGAACAAACAGGACTGCGTAGATCACGCACTTTAACGTGTTAAACCTTCAGCTCTAAGTACCTCCAAGATGATCACGGCTGAAGGATAAAACACAGAGGTGTGCATTTGTTTAATGACTCATCCTGGTGGCACTGAGGTGGTCTGAACTGGTACCTAGTGATACATCAGCATAACGATACAGCACTCTGGTGCTTCTAAGTAAGTTTGACTTGAGTGAGTAGGGATGGAAAAAATCACTTAACAGGAACCTTCCCAGGTACATGGCCGTCTAACATAAGTATCAGAAAATTTGTGAGAAATGGGCCTTTCTGGCAGCATGAAGCTAAAAACAGGCATTCAAGGAAGGCATCAAAAGTTTAACATGAAATGATGCTAACCAAGCAGGAGAGCTTAACAGACTTAACAAAAGAAGTGAAGTTACAGTGAACCTTGCCTCTATTATACTTCACATCACGTGAGAGGAAGGAAAGCTGTGCAGCATGCTCTTCACGCATAATATGGATGGTCTTAAATGATGGGTCTGTGGTCTTAAATGACAATACATTAATATACCCACTGTGGACTCTTCTGGCACTCCATACAATAGGTTTTTTATATATATATGAATATCACTGAGACATAATCATCTTATGAACAAATGCAACTTTTTAGTAAAATTTACGATTTAAAATTATACTATGACTTTATTTACCCAGCTCCGTGGTCAGGGACAGCTGTCAAAAAGTCGTAGATAGTGTCCATCTTAATCATTTTGTTGCATCTCCCTTGCAAGGGATTCGCAGTCAAAGAAAGCAAACTATAAATCTGCAAAAGCCAAAATGAATCAATTGCTACTCAACTCCACAACAAATAACGCATAAAAAACTGCACCTAAGATTATGAATTACATTACCATATGACATTTAAGGCACCATGAATATTCAGTATATTACATACACTAGTCTACATGTAAATGTAATAGCATATGTATTCAACTGATACACTCCAGTTGCTTCAATACTATTTTTATAGAAAGTATAAAATAATAGAACTGATTTAAGACAAAAAAAATTACAAAGGGAAAAACATATACCTCTGAATGTTTATTCATTTTTGCGAGGTCAGCTGCTGTTTTATCATCCTTAGTCTGTAGATTTTTGTCAGCTCCAAGTTCAAGCAATTTTAAAACTACATTTTTATGTCCATGGCGTGCTGCCCATGCTAATGCCTGTACAAGAACAATTTCATTTTTTTTTTTTTTTTGGCCAGGGTGGGGGGGGGAAGAAGTTACAGAAGGCTAATTCACAGGTATACTATTAACTCTAATGTTATACCTAACTAGACACACTTTAGCAGACATGAGAGAAAACAGTCAGTTTTCTTGAAACTCAAGTATCTTAAGACTTTTGATTAAGAGTTAGAATGAAAGATTAAGTACAAATTATGGATGTATCTATCAGGCTTAATTCATTTTCTTTATATACATAGTAAAGAGGTCTTTTCCCACATAAGCTACTAACATCTATAAGTCCACTTGATAGATTGGAGAATTTTACACAAATTAATATTATGTTCATTTGCCAGGCTACTTAAATACAAAGGCTTTATAAGTGCAGGACCACAGTGGTAAAACTTGAGATTAAGTAGCCAACACAAGCCTCAAACTGCATATTGGGCAGCTCTCAAAACATGCTGCTTCTCAACAGTTCCACCTACAGTTAAGTGCTCAAGGATAGGCCAATCACAGAATAGTTGAGGTTGGAAGGGACCTCTAGAAATCATCTAGTCCAACCCCCCTGCTCAAGCAGGGACACCTAGAGCACATAATCATGCAAGATGAGGTTCACAGGGAAGTAAAAAAAAGAAAAAAGGAATCAGTAACATAGCTTTCAACATTTTTCTGATGTTTGGAATCACAGATAAATATTAAAACAATCTAGCAAGATGTTGTGAAACATTAAAACAAAGAGCATTTGGGGGTACTTGGAGTTCTAAAGGTACATTTAGAAACCAGTTTATGGGTTCCTGTTTTTTGAAAATTTTGTCATTAGTTCCAGGAAACAGAAATAAATCACTTACTGAATATCCATTTTCATCCTGGGCATTTATGTGTGATCCATGAGCAACAAGAAGGGCAACAACCTGAGGATACCCTTTTCTCGCTGCATACATCAGTGGAGTCATTTGTCTCCTGGAAAGAAAGGGGAAAACAAACCCTACAACATTAAAACACCAAAAACATTAGCCTTTGCCAGCCATGAAGTGTTACAGTATATGAGTACAGTAGTAGATTATAGTTTCCACTTTGCTAAAAGCAGAGAATATTTGGACCTTTGCTGAAAGGGCACATAGTTTTTTTTTTTTTTTTTTTTTTTTTCTCAATTGAAATTCATTCCAGAAAAATGGCAATGACAGTTATGTTTTACTTCAACAACTACTTTTAGAGAACACAATACAAGCAAAGAATTTTACATACAGATTATTTTAAAATGAAAGTTCTGAGAAGAAATATTTAAAGCTTTCTGGAGGGCGTGTTATAATATGAAATTGAATATTTAAAAACTATGAACTATATAAATACTTCAATACTCTGAGCTAAAACAGTACACACACATACTCACACACAAAAATTACAGATCATACCACTCTTGCTAGTGCACAAAGCTCTAGTACAGTGTTGTGAAGTATTACTAACATCTAGAATCCTTCTGCGTGTTCCTTAAGAGTTTTCCAAGTTATCTAAAAATGTCATATGTTTCCAAATTCTAAAAGCACATTAAATGCTTTTGCCCTTCATCCTATTCTTTGTTTTCTATTCCCAGAACAGTTTGTTTGGATGCTACACACTACTACTACTTGCAGTGGCTGAACAAATGAGTGCTTACAGATACCACCCTTTCAACTGTTCTATTCTTTATACCTCTAAAAGCACTACGAAAACACTCTAGTGATCTGAACAGATATGCATCTGTTCATGCATATATTTTGGTTGAGAAACTCATAAGATGAAGCAATTCTGAATTCCTCTGGATATTTTGAAAGAAAAAAATATTGCTGAAAAACTTCTCAAGATATATTACTCAAGATGTGTGGCACACATTTTTCGGAGGAAAAATGCCAGATCATGGAATTGAAAAACATGTACTATTAAGAGGAGAAAGATGTCTAGTTTCTGATCATTATAAACAGTAGTGAGTGAAAATATTTTACTGGTGATGTTTGTCACACATTGTTCTTACAAAGTCTGCTGGCAAAGATTATTCTATTTTGGTGGGAAGCAATTTGAGGGAAGGAAAGCTTTTTCCAACACAGTTGAGGTTAATGAATTCAATACTGACCACTAGAGGGACTCTGAAAAGCATATGTAAACCATAGTCAGTATTTTTGGACAATCACTTTGGCTTCTAACATTGCTAGAATTAAGGCCTCTCTCATCTTTGCCATTTCTCATTCATAAAAGCTCTGCAGAGATAATGTTTTATGCAAGCAGAGTTAAAAGTTCAGATGAAAAAATTCCAGATGTAATATGAAAAACCCTTATGATAGGGAAAAAAGTCAATTACTTAGAGATAACCAAAATGAAAGGTAAACAGGCCTTCCCAAGACATGCACTCAGAAAGAGAAAGGCTTTTAGTGATTAACACAGACTTGCATCAGCCTTAAACTAATTCAACTTACTCTATCAACTCTTCCAAAGCAGAAGTTCCAACTGAATGTGAGGAGCAACTTTTTCACCATGGGGAAGGGTGCAGCAGTGGAAGTGGGTGCGCGGGGAAGTTGTGTACTCTCCACCCTGGGAGGTTTGCCTCCCTCAGGCTGAATATCAGACCAAGCAAATCTCTGAGAAGCCTGGTCTGATGCCACAGTTCCCTGGCAGGCTCCTGGTATGGGGTAGGAAATGTGATTAAACTGCATTTATACAGTAGATATGAATGGATATCGCTTAATGCTCAAGACATGCTGCATAACCACCACCTCAGAAAGCCAGGTCATTTAACAGGTACATCCACAAGAGGGAGACCAGAGCATTCGGGAAAGCACAGCTTGTTTTCCAAACCCTGCAACAGGCCCTGCCAGTAACACAGCAAGCTTTAAAATGCCCAAATCCAGTGCTTCTTGCTAAAGCTGAAGAGAATTTAAATGCTTTTGCACATTTTATTCTGCAGTCTAAGAAACGTATATAGCACGTATGTGAACAGCCATCTAAATAAAAAGACTGCATTCATGTTTGACTTGAAGAACCCATTGGTCATTTTGAACACAGCTTGGAGACACCCTAGACTCAGTAATTTGGCATGGAGCTGACTCTCTTTTCCAAATACCTTGAAAAGTCCTTTCATATGGCACTATTTGCCACACTGCGTTTGCTCACACTGAACATGATACTCAAGTGACATTCAATGTAAAGCAAATATAAGTCTTAAAAGACATAAGCAACTTACTAATAACACTTAAGCATGATGTCTGTTCTAACCTTATTTGCTTCCAGCTATACAATATCTAAAAGAAACAAGGAAACTGCACGGCCTCATTCTCTACCTTTAGTGTCCCTGCTTTTATGCTAAGTCTGAAGAAAAACACAAAATCAGAAGGCTTTTCAGTTCTCGGGACTATCCAACTACAGAAGCTTCAATGAGATTTTCTTTTAGGCCCACTTCCTCCTGTCAAAACAATGAAGAAAAACAAAGTCACAAGAAGAAGCAAAGTTGTGTGATTGGAGCACTTCAGCTTGGATAACCATGGGCCATGATAGGAACAGGTAATGCAGCAATGAAGTTTTTTCACTGTAAAGTGTTCTGAGTACCTGTCCGTATTACCAAGTTTAATCCAGGGGGCAGAATGCACCACACCTGACAAACATATATCGTTAGGTTACTCTCTTCTGCCCAAAATAAATAAATAATAAATCTATCTTTCTACAAGATTTTGGAAAGGGGGAGGAAGGGAAGCAAAGGCAAACAGAAGACGCCTTCCTTCTAGACACAGGTCTTCTCCCATTGGGGAGATTTCTGAGGAAAATTCAGTATTTCAGTCTAGTGATCTTGAGAATTTAAAGTTATAATTAAAGTTTCATTACTGGATGGGTATTTATTAATGAGACCAGTACATCACTAACATCAGGAAAAAAATAAGAGCAGATTAGAGCTTTTCCTCTTGAGATCCCAAAGCAAGGAAATTATGGCACTCTAATCTTTTAATCTGCAAGCTGAAACCTGCTTCAAATAACCCGGAAGCATCTTCAGAAGCTCTTCGAGCCAGTTTCATCACTTTGGCACTGTTTACTATGCTTAGAATTAAGAAATAAAAATAGTATGTCCCCAGCAGGCAGAGAAAAGCTATTTCCTCCTTTTCTGCTTACTGAGATTTTATGGGAGAAGATGGGAAACTCTATGCAACAAGTAGAACTGGTAGAACGTACTTCAGCAGACTGTGAGCTGTGTACTGTGACACTTTCCTTACACGCGACCTACTGGAGCAAGGTAGACAGTTCTATCTTCTTGAAGCACTTGACAGTAGAATGCAACCTACGGCTCTAAAGAGGCGAGGCTGGTAAGTGTTGCACATTTAGTTTCAGGATCTCTAGTTTCAAGCTTCTTTTCAGACTGCCAGGTTTTAAAGGTAAACACGAAGTTATCTTACGACGAATTAAGAAGAAAAGTGAACACAAAAAAAGGGCATGACAAAAGTCCACACTATGACATTTCCATTTATTCTTCTCTCTCCTCCTATTGCATCACACCAGCACATTTTTATTAGCAAGCAGGTCTAGCTAGGGGTAAAGGGGACAGACACATTCTGACCTAGAGTAATAAAACCATGAATTACCCACAGGATTAGAAACTTCTGAGTGTTTTCAACTTTGCTTTCGAAGTAAGGTAAAGCCTCCAATCAAGAAATTCAGAACCTGCATGGGTAATCTACTCCAGTTATCTGATGAAAGAGCAATTCTTTATCAACACTCCCCTGCCCCAAGGAAAAGAAAAAAAAAAAGAAAAGAAAAGAAAAAAGAAAGTACTGTGCGAATAAGACCTGAAAAGAGTAACCCAGAATACTACAATAATAATAATAATTTGTATCGTACAAATAATCATATGTACAAATAATAATTTGTGGTATATTTGGGATCATATGTTGCTGATGTAATGCTAATGAACTCCAGACCCAGTTTTGTTTTTGTTTGACACAACAACTGCTCAGATGACACTCTGAGGCATCAGAGGACGTTGCTCCTGTCAGGACACTTCTGACAAAAACACCATCTAACGTTGTCACTGTCTCCCAGTATTTTCTACCTCTGCCCAGAATCTGTGGTTAACACAGCCAAGTCTGTTCATCTCACTGTACAGTCAATACTATCTGGAAAAATCTCATCATTTATCCACTTCCAGACTTTTTCTCCTGACAAAATTATCTGATGAATAATTGCCAACACTTGTATTTAAAAGTCACCGTTTCAAACTCATTTGTATGACCCATTTTCTGTAGGTGTCTCCCTTTGGTCCCACATTTATGATTTTTGTGATTTTTTCTCATCTCAGATAGAGGAAGGGAAGAGATTAGTGGGTGCTGCTCTCTGCACACAGTGCTTCAGAAAATATGCTTTAATATGTTCTAAATTATTTTACTTAGCCCTCTGTACTGATAGGTGAGCAACATAATGAAGTATGTCTTTCTGTTAAGAGTTCAGAGTGCTAGAATAACGATCCCAGAAATTAATGACGTATGTGAAATGTCACAAGGTACCTTGTGTTTTTTTTCTGAGGCAGATCAAAGATCTTCATTCAATCCGTATTAAACTTTATTTAAATGCGCTGATTTTCTTGTCATAAAATGAACTGCAGGGCAGTAACATTTCCCAGGCTATTTACCTTTACTGAAACGTACTATTTGTCATTTGGCAAAAGTTAACTATCACCCAATGATAACGTCAAGGTCTTCGAAACTATTATGCGGCAGTGCAGACTTATTATCTTATCAGCAGCAATAAATATCTTGCTAAAATTGAGGCGTTACACAATTTCTTTACTCCCTGAAATTTCTTTACAACCTGAAAGAGAGACCTACCTTTTGAACTGTTAAGATGAACATTTCCCCCTTCCATTATCATCTTCTCAAGAGGGCAAAGTAGACTAACATTTTCATTGTGGAAGCATTTTTGATACTCCCCAAAATTATTCTGAATGTAAGCACAAGTGCAGGCAAATAAATGCCATACTTGAATAGTGATTATATTTTAACGTGTACACATTCACATAGATGATAATGTGTTTCAATCTCTTCATGAAGACAAAATTCTAGCTTTTCTAATATTAACCTAAAATCTGAAGATTTCTAAACATTTTTCTTCACATACACAAAAATTCCATAACCTGTTTCACAGCAGAAACTAGACGGGAGGTCACTGAGCAGGACTCGATTTTGTTAGAAATTAAGAGTGAAGAAAAAAAATCCACACAAAGAGAAACAAAATCTAATCCTCAGCCCACACAGAGCAAGAGATAAAGAGCTTATTCCAAAATACAGGAGTGAGAATTCACTTTTTCACCTATTTGTACCTTCTAACAAAGGTTATGATTGTCAGATTGTCATGAACCATCAATTCTAAATATTCTCACCAACATTACCTTTGGGTTTCTTTTATAGTACTTTACGTAAACAAGAACTTGGAGGATGTTACCATCGAAATCCAAGTATATTAAATACTAAAGGTGGCCCCAGCAGCAGTTTTGTAATTTAGTTATCAGTCGGCCATACCTTTTCCTCCATCTTCTAATAAAATAACAGCTTAACATTATTAAACAAATGTACTTTCAGGGAAGCACTGCAGGTTAAGAAGTGTTTTAAGGAAAGGCTGCTTTACTTTCTTCTGTACTTACAAAAGGATGCAGTATCCCCAAAAGAGGATGAAAGTGAATGATGCAAGACAAGCACAACAAATTTCTCAGGAGAGTATTCACTTAAAGCACAGTGGGCATAGCAGCTCTACAAAGACTTCGCAGAGCACCTTACATCACCTTCCTATATTACCTAATGATTACCTTGTTTCTTGCTTATCTTTCAAACCACTTCAGTAGAACTCATGCTTTGATATGCTGTATTCTCATTAGATAAAATTTTCTTTAGAGCTATGAATATTTAGTTCCTGATTTTGGTTCAGTAAAATACCAGAGGTAAAATAACTTGCTAGTCCCTTCCCCTCAGTACTCCGTATTTACAAACTTTACACTACCTTTCTGAGACTGCAATTCAAAAATCAGTTTGAGATTTCTCACTAATACGTCCATTTCATGCAAACTAAGTATATCAGAGGGGGAGTGAAGAAAAAAGAGGAAAAAAAAATTTTCAGTGCATCGCCTCCAAGTCAAGTGAAAGCAGGAGTCCACACAGGCTGTCCTGCCAACTCAACAGAGAAAGGATAAATACCAACCATTCTGTACCACACCAAGGTAAGTACTCAGCTTTGCATTCACACAAATGCATTCCTTAAGCTGATCACACCTCCCAATAATTTCAGCTCACATTCTCTTATGGATAACATGGAAATGGCAGAACAGTAACAACATGGGCAAGGTGGAACTGGAACACCACTCAGGTCTGCACTGATTCCTCATGCTCACAGGTGCAGGTTTAGTGGGTTCCCTCCCCCTGTTTCAGAGTAAGTAGTTCTAATGAAGCAGTAAGCACAGAAGTTAGGTATCATGAAGGAAAAAAGGGAGCACAAAGACTTTTCAAAAATCCAGGCCTTGCTATTTAACCTCTACTTGTTTGGTGCAAATCTAGATTGTCACATTGTTATCTTTCTGTTTTGGAAAGATTGCTCTTCCAAAAGTGAAAAAGCATGAACACAACACTGGGTGTATGCTAAAACAGCTCATACGTTAGCACAAAGCTCTAGGGTGCAAAGAAAGATAACATATAAATATTTGTATACAAAACCAACTATGCATAACATACGCTAAGTTTATAAATATAGTTTTGCCCTTAAATTCCTATCTCTTGTGTCAGAATGCAAGTTTTTCTTCCAAAGCGTAGCAAAAGGTCTTTAAAGTGTAAACTAGCAACTCTGCACTCTGGCTTACATTTTAAAGCACGGAGGACAAAGTTTAATGACGCAGAGACCCCACTTTTTTCAAGCAGATTGGTTAATGTAACACCCAGTTATCTGAGGGTAACAATATGTAATTATTTAAGAGTTTGATGCTTCCCTTCTTTCCTGAACAGCATTTGATAAAAATGGCTTTTTTTTTTTTAATATCACACATCAGTGACACTTTAGTATAACTATGTTTCCTCCCTGCCTATCAGTGCTATGCTTACAATGAGATTCAGGGGTCACACAAAACATCTTAGCGCTAATATGGAGAAAAAAAAAATGAAAAAAAAAATGAAAAAAAAAAGAGAGAGATACACACAATCCACCTACTTCACGTAATAAGAGTTTAGTTTGTAGTGGTAGGTAAAAGAACAGTTTATCCTGGGTCAATCCAGGATTTTTTTTCTTTTTAATGCAAAATGAAACACTGTATCAGACTACACTGTATGCAACTACACATAGCTCAATGTACTGCCTCAGATTGCTGAGGCATGAAGTAGTAGTTCAAGAAACAAGTTGTTTTTTTAAAAGATTAAATCATACTTGTGGTGGAAGAAATCTATTTTATTTACACAGGAATTTACTTTCACACCTAGGAACCAATAAAAAGCTCAAAAAAGAGTGAATTTAAATTAAGAATTCTCTCTTAACCCACATCTTCATACAGAAGATAAAAAATATACATATTTGGAAAGGGCAGAGAATGTATTTTTCGAACTTATACTATGGACAGAGAAATTTATTAAATTAAGATTAAGATTGAATTTTTCCCCCAATTTGTATCTTTTTCAGACGTGCAACATACTTTAATTTGATAAAACTCATCACATTTTATTACTCAAAAAAACTATTGTACCAGGAGAAATAAGCAACCACACAATCATCCTTCCATATGCAGACAGCAGTAAGGTTAAAAAAAAATAGTAAGTACACATCATCTGTGGCAACACTTATGGCTGTATGGCTCTTTGTGTTAATATTAGCATTTTGACTATATTAACAGATTTTTACCTGCAAGGAAGGTTAGGATCAGCATTCCTTGATAGAAGTAGTTCTACAGTCTTCAAAATCTTTTCCTCTGAAGCATGTGCAGTACATGCTGCCATCAGCACAGTGTACTTATCTATTTCGAAAATTAAGAGAATTACATATATAAAAAGCATGCTAATCAATAATTTATTTTGCAGATGTATTTTGCACAAGACTTTACTCTTGTTACAGTTCAACTAATTGGGTTCTGATACACTAAGACTTTTGGGAAATGGCAGAATTATCAAGTCAGATAAAGGTATCTGAGAAGAAAAAGGGAATGCAAGTGGCAGAACACCTATCCCTATCAAAGATGAGGATGCTTCTTAGCTGCCAAAATAAAAGTAGAAGCTTAACTTTAGATACTTGTTTCTCAGATCTGTGTTCATACAAATAAATTCATTCTCTATCCTGCACCTCCTTAAAAACAGGAAGAGTCAAGGAAAGAAACAGCTTAGAATTTAACTGCAACAGCCAAGGGAGAAAAAAAAAAAAGTGCATGGAATGTATTTAACATTCACTAGCACTACTGGTTTTAGAGAACATGAACTGTCTGTTGTACGGGCCTCCAAACAACAAGGTTTTACTAAAAGGCTTTAAGTGAAAGAACTCCTTTCCTAAACTATCTAGATTACCATTGCGCACTAGTGGCAGGAGGAAGATTAATGTTTTTATAGATGTTCCTTTCCACAACTACATCACTTAAAACTCATGAAGAGAAACCAGTGTATTTGCTCCAGCTCTGAAGGCCGCTGGGTGTTACCTTCTACCTTTGGCCATGGATCAGAACTGCACACTGCAGCTATTTGTCCGTCCACAAAACAGGGGGGATCTTTCCCACTGTTCTCCTATAGAGATGTGAGAAACATTGCAACTCAAGGACCTTTGTGAGCTATTTGGCTCTAGAATCAATTAGAAACTTGCCATTTGAATAACTGCCCATTTTGCTTGTTGCACAAACTTGCATACAAGTTCAAACCTGCCTTCAACATTTGCTTTAACAAACAGTTTTAACTGTACACATCTCAAAGCATACCATGAAGCATTGCAAAATATTTTCTAACTTTCTAGTAGAAACTTTTAAGACTGTGTATGTGCTAGCACTTTTATTTTCTTGACTTAGGTCAGGTTTTTAACATTTTTAAACTTGAAATGAGGTATTTTATCCCAACATCTGAATTTCACCACTTGTATCCAAAATCTGACTTCTATGTTTAAGTGCACTTCAATTTTATATACCATTTTGTAATTTTCAACTACTTCATGCAGAAGTTCTAACATACACAAATCAATATATTAAATGAATTCACAGAATCACTTAAACTCTTGCCCAGTAAGCAATTAACATTTCAGTAAACTATATGATTCACTGACTGGCTGATTCTTACTCAAAATGTTTAACATGGTTATCAATAATAACGTGAATTGAAAGCTGGCAGAAGGAATTCAAACAGAAAGTTAGTGATAAGCTCTGACTAGTCTGGGAATGGTATCTAGGAGGAAATTGTAGTTGTGATAAAGAGTGGGAAATTGAGTTCTGTGAAGCATACCTAGAGCTCATGCATCTGGGGAAAAGAATGGTAAGAAACATGTCAGAGTATTTTTTTTTTCAGAGAAAAAATTATGGAGACTGAAGAAAGAATTAGTTCATGTTCAATCTGAATCAAAAAAAAAAATCTAGACTACCTAGTGAATTTACTTCTCAAAAATGCTGTATTCTGATCCCATCACATGTTCGATGCTGCACTTAGTTCCTTGTTCTTCATGACTACCTAAGTTTATTTTAAAATTAGGGTAGAATCACTTGCAAAGAACTGCAGCGTGACTATGGATGATTACTAGTACAGCCATTACTAGCATTACAAACATTTAAAGATTATTAGTATAGGAATAACTTATTTCTGGCTGGTATAAAACAACCTACTGGTGATTTTATTACCACAGTTGTTACTGAATACATGTCCAATACTTAATCAGTCAACAAGTCGCCAGGCTCTTCCTGGCTAACGCATATTTTGCTGCCCACAGGGCATGGCTACTGTTTTCCTACACACACTAAAAGAGAAACAAACTGAGAAACCCGCTTCTAGCAAATTGCCACCTCAGACAAACAACGATGGCTACACTTTGAAAAAGAAATACCCTGCATATGGTTTATTGCTCAGCAGAGACTGTTGTCCAGAGAAGTCTGTTCAACAAGGCATGTGCTAAGCATGTATGAACTACAGGAAGCCATATGAGCCACTCTGAAGCGGGTTATAAGGATAGCAATGAGAAGACATAATTGCTTTAGCGGCAGGTAATCTATTCTCATCTTGTAACTCGTATCAGTTCCTAGGAACTTCAAGAAATATCTTAGTACCATTTGCACTTTGATCTACTACTTCTACTAGTAATAAAACGATCAGCTAGTTTATGAACTTAGTACTGTGTGTCAGATTTGTTTCTTTTGTATTACAAAGTCTTTTCTTGGGTTTGGACAAATCTTCCAATGGAACTAAAGAGAAGGAAAATAACCACAGTTTAAGTAGGAAAATGTTATTAATAAGCCATATTATTAGCAGACTTGACAAAGGAAGCCATCAGATGTATTAGTTTAGGAGGTCCACTACACTTTAATATAACTTTGCACAAAAGTGACCTCTTTTCAGCAAGACACAGAAAAATTAGAAAGTCCACATTAGTTTCTCATGAACTATTTCTGTAGGCATATTATTTTTTTTTGCACAGAGGAAAATTTCTGGAAACTGGAAAAAAGGAGAACTTTGTTTTGACTACAGCAGTTCAAAGGGCAGATCTGAAATATGGTAACAACCAAAATCCCCAAAAGACAACACATCTTTATTACGGTTCTGAAATGACCAATCACAAGAGCTGGTAAATTGGTATATTTGAAAGGCTAATGTTGAAGGGATGGACAACAGTAAATTGCTACAAAAGCAGGTGAAGGATGTGGTCATTGGGCTATCAGAAGATTAGACTGGTTTAGACTGGATTTTGAAGTCTTCTGGAATGAGCCCATGTCTTTATCATATATTGAAGTATTTAATAAGAGGTAGGTACTGATCTGGCTTTGAGCTTCTGGCTGGTTCCTGAATGCACATACTTCTTGACATGAAGAAACTAAGAAGGTGCTAACTCTGCAACTTTACCTTTAATTCTTGATGTTGAGGTCACTTTATCTTGACCAAAATAAAACATAAATCCACTAGTTCCAAGAACACAAGAAATACCTTTTTTTGGGGGGTAAACTTTAATAAGCTTGATAACAGGGCCAAACATGGTGTGTACACATTATCACAGACAGTTCCCTCTGCTGAGTTTCCAATGGCAAGGTGGTACTTGCTATTATTATACTGTCAAAGTATCTTGACTATATTTTGCCATTTTAGATGTGAACTCTAGCTAGGTTCCAGTTCCACCATGCTTTTTTTTCTATATATGTAAATAGAGAATAAGGATAGGACAAGGTCTGGTACTGAGAGTTATTGACCGATTGCTGCCTTACCTATTTCAAAACTTGCATTAGCTCCTCTGTCTAGCAGGAGATGCACTACAGCAACATCAGCCACGCTGGCCGCATACATTAGGGGAGTCCACCCAAACTGAAAGCTAGATTCTATGCTTATACCTGTCAAAATTCAAGACACTAAGTTCATAAAGTTATACCAAAATAAACACAAATTTTACAAGCTGTACTTTAACATACATAGTTACTACAGTCACCAATTTGTGCTTATGCTTGTGTTTACCCCTAGGGAGAGGAAAGTCTTGGTTATACTATTGCTGTCTTCTTAAACATCTTTTAACTGTTTTTAAAATGTCTGCAATACTAGAAAATAGATTTCAGAACAGATCCCAAGCAGTCACAGTTCTTTACCCAAGTAGTTAAGCATCACAGAAAATTTATATTTAAGAAGAAAATAGCAAGTACACCAACATGGAAACATTCAGTGTTTTAATTAATGCTTGCGTGAATTACAAAGAATTAAAAATGGAAGGTGGTAATGTAAAACAGTTAAGCAACCTGATGTTCACACATCACTAAAAACTGTACTTACAAGAACAGGTGTTGTCAAAGCAAAGGATAAGATGCATTTCAACTCATTATTAGATCTCTGAGTTTCAGCCTGGATAGTAGTTTTGATTAAACAAAACAAGAAAGCATTCCACACTGAGGTGGATGGGGAAAAATAAATAAATAAATAAATAAATAAATCTTCTTTTAAAGAGCAAGTAACAAGATTGTTTTAAAACTCTGGAAAACCTTTCTAAAAATCTGCATTCTTCCAACCATAAGACAGATTTTCTCAAAGATCAAGCTCTTTGCTGCCATACTCTGCTTGCTTTATGAAACAGAACTTCCTGACAATTATCTCTAGGCAGGTTTCTTCAGCTATGCAGTTCTGATTGCCCTGGATGCTTCAATAAATGATCCAATCTTCCTAACACTGAATAATGGAAACACATTACAGAAGAATACCGAGTTAACAAAAAAACAGGGAGAATCACTTTTAGTGTTGAAATGAGCTGGTTTTCAGTCATGATTTGTAACAGCGACAAATACCATACAAACATTTTTAGGCCTTTTGGAATCACAACGTCCAGCCACGTTGCCAAGACAGCAGTATCACACACTGAGCATACCAGAAACACAATAACGCTGGTGAGCAACAAAAACAACACAGCGCTTCCAAACTGTGGGAGCATTAAAAAACAAAATACAATCTTCAACATTAAGGTGAAAAGATCCAGTGTATTCTCATTTTCAAATGAGCCACTTCAAACTTAGTGTTTGTAATAGCAGATGTTCAGATTCAAGAAGCATCTGAAAACAGATGCTTATTTCATTGTTCACACATCATAACTTTGTCAATATTCAGGACTTCTGACTGATAACATGAAATAAGCATCACTTCGTTAAATTTACTGACATATCACATGCTGAGTGACTGAAAAAAAAATACTTTCACCTTTAAAATAAGAGTCTATATCCTGTATTAGAAACATGGGCACAGTCTGACACGCACCGGAGGCATTATTTTGAAGTAAGAAACTTTTAAGCATGGGAAATCTTGCTAATATAATTTAAAATTATTCAACTTCAAAATTCACTTTCCTCACCTGAGTTTAAGAGGTCTTCAATCAATGATACATTACCACAAGTCAGAGCTTTCTTTAATGCAGCATTCTTGTCTGCCTGCAACAGTTCATCCAACTGCTAGATAAGCAAAATAAAATTAATTCAAAATCAGGTAAATGTTTCAAGATAAAAAGCACATCCTGATTTTTATACAGAAGTACTATGCACCTCCATGAAAACAAAGCAAAGAACGAAAAAATAAAAGGAAGGTAAGGTTCCATCCCTGCACATCCGATTACATCCTACTGTCACAAATAAGCTTAAGATTCATTTTTTTGAAAGATTCTATGTTCAGAAAACAATATATTTTCTCAATGAACCTGCTATTCTTCTATAGTGCTCTCTCTTTTTCTTAATGCTATTCAATTTCAAATAAGATTCCTTTTCTTTTTCTGGAGCTCAAAGAATGTTGCATCATGTTTCTCCAATTGCTTTGTGCACCTCACATGTGGAGAAGCAAGGCACTAAAAATAACATGTATGATTCAAGACAAAAGCTATGATTTGGGCAGCACATCTCTGTAAGAAATCTATCTGGTTTAGGCCAGTATGAATCCGCTGTGAGAGGGGATTAATGGTCCCCTTTCACCCCTGTGGCAGCAGAAGTAGTAGTTGTGCTGCTGAAACCAAGTGATTTGACAGAATCATCTGGCTGAAAAATGACCTATACGAAACAAAAAAAATCAACAGCAAAAAAACCACCACCACCACAAGTTTTTGAATCACTCTATTCAGCAGCAGTGCAGATTTGTTCTGCATTAAAGCTGTAGATGTACCTAGAGATTCCTGCTAGCATGACCAGAACTATACCCAGTAGTTGCATATGTTAAGTCAATCACTGCTCACTACTGATGCCTTTGCAGACTGAACAGTGGAAGGAAAGAAGGAATGCTGTCCCTTGCAAGTGCTTTAAGTCCTGATGCGAAAAACTCACAACAACACAACTTTACCCAGCATGCAGTAGTCTGTCTTTCTTACAACTTCTGTATAGATTTTCATAAGCTCTTAGTGTGTAGAAAAGCGAATACTAGAAGCAACCAAGATGATGATTTGGCCTTGTTTTCTACTCTACTTACCCTCCAGCTCCTGAACAATGTGTATTTCTGAGAGATGAACCTTGATTTAAAGATCACTTAAATAAAAAATAAAAATGACTACAAACTTTGGCAGAACACTGTATATTTTAAGTTTATTTCAAGTTTCAACTCTCATCCATAGGACAATTTAACAGCTAAAAAGCCTTGCAGAATCACATTCCTTCTCACACCATGTTTTCCCATACACACTAAAACTACATAAGACTGCAGATTAATATGAAACCTACTCATTTAAAATCTAAAAGAAAAAAAAAAAGGCAGCTCGAGTCTCTCAACATGCTGAGTGATGGCAGTCTTTCATTATAAAAGAGAAAAATAAATGGAAAGAAAGTTACTTATTTTTATTTTCAAGGAAGGAAACAAACCTCCCCAAATTTGTTGTTCTTGTTGTTGTTTATTCCCAGGTTAGGGGGCATCGCCCCCCGCCACGCGCCCCCCAGCCCGCATAAGCCATGATACCGCGGGACGCGCCTCGTTCCCGCGCCGCACCACGCTGCCGCCGGGGCACGTGACCCGCCCGCGCATGCGCCTGCGGCCGTAACGGTCACGGCAACGGTCTTTAACGGTCGCTGGAGCGTGGCTTGGGGCGCCGCCTATGAGGGGCGGTTATAGCCACGGGATGCCGCGCGGATTAGAACACGGGCGGTGGGCGAGTGGAGGACTGCATGGTCAACTCTCTCTACTGTGTTGCGGCATCATCAGGCATGAGAACAACGTGCCACTTAACATTTAAGGTTGATATATGTGAGCATAACATGGTGTAGTAGCCTTCATCCGTTTTATAGTGCTGGCTGATAAGAGGCCATGTACAGAATTTACAGTCCAAATCCATGATTGTTAAATTTACTTTAAGTTAAAGAGAAGAGTTACAGTTACTTTCAGTCTCAGAACTGTGGTTGTGTCTTTTTTTAATGAGAGCTACTTAATGCCTACCCCTGACAAGTTTCATATAAAGCCTTTATGAAACAGAGCAGAACTAATGTTCTCTATTTCTCTCAAGCAAAACTGTTCTTTGAGCTCAGGGCAGCCCTTCCTGACTCAGATATGAAATTGGTCTTTCAGTTAATGACAGACGACAGAAGGGCAGAGTGGCTGCAAAGAGGAGGCTTGCATGGAAAGTGCAATGTAACAGGGTAAAAGTACTGGATCTGTGCTTAGAATGTATTAAGTGCTATAAAAATCCCAAGTATTCAAAAAAGCTGTGGGCTGTGTGTTAGTATCCTGAGATTTTTAAATGCATTTTTTTTCTGTTTTTTAATTGCTTGTCTGTAGAGTACATGCATAAAAGTGTTACATAAGTGAAACCGGTAACCATGAGGAACTCTGGCATAGGGCTGAAAACTTTAAGTTAACTCCCTTGAAAAAAATTCTGGTTTTGGTCTTAGAAATGCCAGTACTATCACAGAAAGGCTGTGTACCTTTACAGCCTAATGAGAACAATAGATGAATTTTTCTTCCAAAGATGAAAAAGGTAATAGGAATTCTTACTGAAAGCCAACTTTATTATATACCTGTATGTTTAAGGCTTAGCTTTATGTGCTTACTTTTGATTTAATTATATAAATCAAACATCACTAACATTTGTTGAGTTATAAAGATAACATTTATTGAATATAATAAATGTTCTTGTAGCAATTTCAGTTCTTTTAAAATTGTAACTCTTAACGTCAGAATTTTCCATTTTCTGGTAACTGTCCTGGAAATTTCTCCTGTCATTATGCCTGCAGAAAAAAACAGGAGTTTATAGCATTGCCATCCAAATTTTGAGGGTCTATGTGGTCTTTTCCTATTAGTTCTGTAATGCAAGAGGTAGCAGAACCAGTACTGAACACCATCTCTATAATAAAAACTTAATCTGTGTGCAGCCTAGCTCCAGGTATGTGTGCCTATATTAAACATACTTGATAAAGTTACTGTATGGATAGTGAAGAGAGCAAACACTAGATGAAGTAAATAGCAGTGTTTCTGTAAGGACCCATATTTTGCGCTGATAGAACTTCCTTCCATCTTTCTGTCTTCAGCCAAATTCCTTGTTGCTAAAACTTACATTCTGACTTCAGCTTGTCTTGGTCTAACTTGTTACTTTATTTCATGACTGATGTCATTAAATAAATCCATTAGTTACTTGAATTTATTCTATATTTTTATCTATACCTCATGTACAGTCTGGCATGGAACTGATTCATATATACAGCTGCATGTTTGCCACTCTGTGTATGGATTTACAGTCTTCCAAATGACCTTATTTTTGATTTACCAGAATATTACAGTTAGTTGAATTTCACCTGTTTTGAACTAAAATGCTGAACCAGCAATTTTTGAAAGGTTTGCGTTGGGAAAGCAATGTTCTTGGGAGAAGAATCAGAATTGGTAAATGTTTAAAGAGAATCACTCTGTGAACCTTAGCTACTGCAATAATATTTTATTAACAATATAGCAGCTAATATTTAGAGATGAAACAGCGTTTTAGTGCTGTTTACATAATAGAATACTTATCTGAGTCATAGCTACTAGTCTGAGTAACAGTCTATGCCCTTTCAGTATTATGCTTATATAATTTCCATCTGTGGTAATACTATTTACAGTAAAAACTGACCGTGATTCTGTATATTAGTGTTAGGTAGGTATTACTTTGACTAAACTTAATTTGAATTGTAGGATAATTGAAACATGTTGAGCCCCTTCTTTTCATGTTCTCAAAATATATTAATGCAAAGGAGAAAAGAAGTCCGTGTACAACCAGCAGACATTCCAGAAGGAAGAAAATTAATAGTTTAACAGCTTCTCATTCCCAGGGGGAAATAACATCTCTGGATCTAGTGGACTAACTTACTCACAGTAGTTATTCAGTTGGGGATTGGCAAGCATCAGCTCTGTGGAACCATTACACTAATTCTATAATAAGGGCAGGATCTCATACAGCTCATACACTTCATAGTAGTTTAGGTCGTCTCTGATAAGTTTGTAGCTGATTTAAACACACCTGTACCATTCCTTCTTTTTTGCATTTCTGTTTGAAGTGTAAACTATGGCTAATATTGCAGACTATAAGATATTCCTAGAAAAAGCAATTGAATGTTCTTGGTGATGTCTTGTTTTGCCACCTCTCTTCATCTAGTGCTGCACTTCAAATTGATTTTTTTTTCAGTCATTGTTCTAACCAACTTACAGTTGGAAGAAAGTATTTCATTCCAGCTGGTTTGCTTCTGAGAATTCATTTTTTACATCTGTGTTCATCCTGTCAGCTTTGCCAAATCTCTCTGGACAGTGTGTGATGTGAAACGTTGAATCTACTGCCAATAAGTTGAGTATAAATTGCATACCAACTGTATTCCTGCTCATAAAATTAGTTCATTTTCTGGTAGAAGTCTTAATTCCCTATCAAATTGTCCCAAAGTGCCCCAAACAAACTAGTAAGTGGTGGAGAATTCATAGGTGTGGTGTATTTGAATCCTTTCCAGGACCTCTGTGTGCCAGTGTCATGAAAACAGTTCTGATACTGGTAATGTCTCAAAAAGTAGAATAGGAAATAGATATTTAGGCATTGTTTTTTTAACCTCAGTTAGGCACACACACATTTTTAGCTTCCTTCTATATAATCTGTAA